AACGGGGAATACTTTTGTGAAATGAGCCAGGTAGCTCTGAGATCAATCTCCTCTTTAGATTGCTGTCAAGACTCAACTGCTGACAGATTTGATCTTAGGTCGTGGTCTAGACATCTGGTGGTTAACAATCCTTAGGTTAAGAATAAGGTCCTAAAAAAAAAAAAAAAAAAAAAAAAGAATAAGGTCCTGCTAACCTCTAAGTTTTTCTTTTATACACAGTAACTTTGTTTTAAATTGTTTGAAATGGAGCTAGTTTTAAACCCTTACAGTATGATTTGCTTTCATCTTTAACAAGTGGTAAAGAAGTATTTTAAAATGTATTCTTTATGATATACATATGATATGATAAGTAAATGCTTAATTTGCATACCTCCTTTATACACCCAGGGTGGCCTAAAAATTCCTCAGGTGAGGTTTGCAAGCAGAAAAAGTTCTAGGTGCCCCTCTCTAAAGGCTCCTTGTGTCTCTCAGCACACAGCCTACCCAGAGCTGAGCCCTGGCCTAGTAGTGAGCACATGAACTAATAATGAAGACCCTTCACCTTGAAATCTCCCAGCAGGCAATTAATCAGGTCATCTAACTCAAGCTGACTTAGGAGCCTTAGCTTGTCTGTGGTTGCTGCTCAAAAGAGACATATTCTTTCCATTTGCAAGTAAGAGTTTCCAACTTGAACAATGGAATGATTGTTCTTTTCTTCCTTTTACGTTAGTTTCTATATCCAGATACTGGACTTTTTCTATTTGAAAAACATCAGAATCTGTTTGAATCTCTTGTCTTTTTCCTGCAGTCGAATTTTTATCTTTCTACTGTGTTTTAAAAGTTATTATTTTTTTTTTTTGAGATGGGATCTCATGTACCCCAGGCTGGTCTCCAACTCTGTATATAGCCAAGAATAACTTTGGATTCCCAGCGCTTCTCTTTCTACCTTCCAACTGCTGAACTGCAGGCCTGTATCACCATAGCCAATGTATATAGTGCTGAGGCTCAAATTCAGAGCCCCATGTGTTCTAGGCAAGCACTCTACCAACAGAACTACATTCCCAGCTGTGCTTCTTGAACCTTCTCTGAAAAGAACTGGGTATAGGAGAGACAGTTATTCACATGCCAGTTTTTAAGCTAACCCTGCCCCCTTCTCTTCAAAGATCGGAGCAGGCGCATCTTACACTGCTTTTTATATTCAGTAATTTTTACCGATGTTTGCTCCCTCCTTGAGTGCATCTTTCTGACATTTGATTGACACACCTTGGCTTGTAGGTCTGTGACAGCACTCAGTATTTCAGGATTAGCCACAGGGTCACTCCACTCTGTTGTTCCCTGAGGTGTTCCACTTTTTTCAGGTAGCCATTTCTTTTGTGAACGCAAGGCATTTTTTCTCTCCTGTGCTTGGCTATAAATTTCCTTTTGTTTTCTTAGAAGTATTTATTGAACTCCTTTGGAAGCTCTGAACTTCCTTTACGCTTTTCAAATTTCCCCTCTTCTTCAACTGTATCACTTTGCTCTATCGTGTGAGTCTGTACTTTCAAAGGTCTATATTTAAGGCTGATTCTTTTGCACAGAGAAGAGTTCTTCCTGTGTCAAACCCCATCTGTTATTTTCTATAGGGCATCATAGTTTATTTAAGTCTTCAAATGTGTCTTCAAGTTCTTTAGTTTTGGGGCTTGACTCTTCTTTTTTTTTGTAGGTAGGCCAGTTAAAATGTTTATGTTTATGTGTGTGTGTGTGTGTGTGTGTGTGTGTGTGTGTGTGTGTGTGTGTGTGATGTTGCGTGGGTACACATGGGCCACAGTGGGCACTTGAAGGTCAGAGGATAGCTTGCTGCAGTCAGTTCTCTGTTTCTAGCATGTGGGTTCCAGGGACAGAACTCAGTTTGTGAGGTTTGACAGCAAGCATCTTTACATGGTGAGCTAGCTCTCCTGATCTAGACCAGTCCAAGGTTTAGAGATCAGTGACTTCAATTCCTGAGCCACTTGGCTGAAAGATGATTTCTAACTCTTCCGTCTTTGGTTCACAGTCACTGAGGTTTTCTGGACGCCTGTGGTTGATGGTTAAATTTGATGATTAGCAATACCCTGGCTTTTGTTCTGTTTACATTCATTTGATTTTTTTTTTTTTTTTGGTTGGTGGTAGATTTCATTTTCCACCTACTTGCTCTTTCTTCAACACCGGAAGGCTGAGCAACACACCTCAAAGGTCAGCTTCAGACTCACATCTTAAAACTTCATCTGTCCCGCCAGGTGGTGGGTGGCGCACGCCTTTAATCCCAGCACCTGGGAGGCAAAGGCAGGCGGACCTCTGGGTTCAAGGCCAGCCTGGTCTATATAGTGAGTTCCAGGACAGCCTGGGCTACATAGAGAAGCTGTCTTGAAAAACCAAAACCAACCAACCAGCCAAACACAAACAAAAAAAAAAAAAACCAACTTCATCTGTCAATGTTGTGACCAAACTGACATTACAATCCATGTCATCACTTGTAAAGCTAATGCATGATTGGTAGGTACCACAGTGTTGTGGGATATTGTGATTGCACTCTGACACTCCAGGGACTGATGATAAAGTTTACTTTGAATCAGAAGGCAGAGCTGCTGACCAAAATTAGCCATGGAGGTTTTGGAGGACCGAGGACATAGAGAGACACAGCAGGGAGTGGGGAGGGGCCCTTCTGGATCAAGAAAGGAGAGAGGAGGTTACCTACTGGTCACATCGCCACCTGTTTCTCTGATCAATCAGGTTCTTACCCCATATCTGATTCCGGAGTTTTTATAAAGAATAATTAGATAAATGCTTCACCACAACTGAATGAAAGCTCTACAGTGGTCGCTGACACAATGGCACACCTGTCTCTCGTTGTTGTTTTACTCCTCTCTGTTCCCCGGGCTGACCTGGAATTTGTGATCCTCCCGTCTCAGCCTCCTGAATAGCTGAGATTTCAGGCCTGTGTCACCACAGTCGAGTTTCATGGTAGCACCTGAATGTAGTGACTCAGTGGCTGACACACACTTGGCACAAATCCCCATCTGTCTTGCTTTAAGAAGTCTTGTTGGGTGGGGGTGGCACAAGCCTGTAATGCTAGCATTTGGCAGGTGGAGGTAGGAGGATCAAGAATTTCAGGCCATCCTCCGCTGCACGAGACTCCTTCTCAAAAACAAAGCCTAAGTTCGTCTTTCTGTTGTAACTAAGGTTGATGAGCTGCCGTTTGCTGCCTGACCCAAGGCTCCACACTTGAGAGTGGGGACTGCTACAGATTTTTAAGTTTCCTGTGCTTGATCTCCAGATGTTCCCTGTATTACAGTTACTTTGCTCTCCGTTGTGAGCAAATGCTGGACAAGATGCAGCGGGAGGAAGGAAGGGCTTAGTCTGGCTTCCAGTTGGAGGGATGTCCACCTTGATGAGGACAGTGCTGCAGTAGGGGTGTGATCCTGCTTGTAGGGCCACTCAGTCCATGAAGGCTCTTGGTTCAGCTAACTTTCCTCTTTTTATGCAGCCTGGGGCCACAGATCATGGAATGCTGTGGCCCACATTTCCAGTGGGTCTTCCCATCTCAATTAACCTAATGTAGATAATTCTTCACGGAGATTTGTTTCTAAGGTGTTTTTTTTGTTTGTTTGTTTGTTTTGTTTTGTTTTGTTTTTATTTTTCGAGCCAGGGTTTCTCTGTGTAGCTTTGGAGCCTGTCCTGGAACTCACTCTGTAGACCAGGCTGGCCTCGAACTCACAGAGATCCGCCTGCCTCTGCCTCCTGAGTGCTGGGATCAAAGGCGAGTGCCACCACTGCCCGGCCAAGTTGACACTTTAAACTATCCCATAGCTTGTGAAGGAAGCCATAGCCCACAGAACGCAGGGAATATTGTCTACACGGAGCCAGGGCTGCCAAGTAAGGTTGACATGGCTACAGGTCATAAAACTCACCTGGTTCAGTTGGAGCAATGTGAAATGATCTCCCACCAAGTTCCCCGGCCCCACTGTGCCTGCGGGGCTGGGAATCAGAACCCCTATGGTAATTTAAGTCAGCAGGGACTCAGAGACTCACCAGTGCAGGGGCCTAGTGAGGGTCAGTCTCCTTTGGCTGTGGGCCTAGGTGTGTACTCTATAGGTGGCCCTCATATGATTGAGCGTACTCTTTTAGCCTTCCTCATGGACCAGTGAGCAGCTCCTGAAGAGTCGCAGGCCTCCATGACACTCTCTCTCCTGATACTTTGCCCTTTGGGCAGGACAGAGGGCAAGGGGTATGGGTGTTGAGGGCCTGGAGCTCCTAGCAGGGCTGGTTCACCCCGCTTGATCTGGCTCAGTTCGCTCCTGCTCTGCTAGGATATACCCTGGTCTGACCCACCGCTCTAAGTTCGGTCCACTCAGCTCAGCTTAACCTCAGTTCGGTTCTGCTCGCCCTAGCTTGACTGGGCCTCACTCGATTAAGAACTCCCCTTCTATTCTGCTTGGGCCAGCTCCTCTCTCTCTCTAGGCTGGCTCGGCTCCCGGGTCCGGCTGGGTGAGGCACCATCCCTCTGTGTTCCGCCTTGAGCAACTGGGCCCGGATCTACTATGCTCACCCCACGTTCTAGCTGGCCCTACTAGAGTAGCCACCCAGGTTGGGCTCTGTTCGGCCCTTCCCGCCAGGCTCTAGCTAAGAACGGCCAAGGTCCAGGGGCCCGGCAGGGCTTGGCCCCGCTCTTCTTGGCTGAGCCATGCTCGTCCAATCCTGATTGGCTCAACTCCTCCACTGGGCGATTACTTCGGCTCGACCCATTAAGTTCGTCTAGTTTAGCTTGGTCTTGCTCCGCCAGACTTCTCCGGTTTCTGCCGGGCCTCCGCACAGCTCGGCTCCACCTATCTGGTTTCGGCTCTGTTCGGTTCGGCTCCACCCACCTCCTCGGGGCCGCCGTGGTCCCCGCCCCTATTGACTTAGCTCCACCCATCTCGGGTCCATTCTCACCTGCTCGACTCCACCTCTTTGGGTTCGGCCTTGTTCGGCTCGGCTCGGCCCCACTCGGTCAAGCAGGAGGGGCGGGCGGCGGCGCTGGAAGTGACGCGGCGAGGGCGGGGCCGAATTGTAGCCTCCGTCGCCGCCTCCCGGGCCGGGAAGCGATGTAGGAACCGCCAGACGGTCCCAAGCTCTTCCCGGCCCGAGCCCCGCGGCCTGCCGCCGCCGCCGCCACCGCCGCCGCCATGAAGAAGCAATTCAACCGCATGAAGCAGCTGGCCAACCAGACCGTCGGCAGGCGAGTGCGCGGGGCGCGCCGGCGGGGGGCGCGCGGAGGGGCGGGGAGGTCCTGCGCGCGACGAGCCGGGGAACCGGGAGAGCCGGGCGCGGCCCGGCCTGGGCCAGCGGGGCGGGGGTCTGCGCCAAGCTGTGGCTTGGGCGCTGCCCATTGTCCGGTCCGAAGGAACATCGTCCTCGGGGGACCCACGCGAGCCTCTACCCGAGCTCGCCGCCTGCCGCGAAAACTCCGCAAACTTGTGTTCCTAACGCAGTGCCAGGCGCGCAGCCTCAGGGACGGCGTTCCCAGGCTCTCCCCGCCGACCTGCTGTTGCAGCTTTCCTTCCAGAGAGCTCCCTGGTCACAGGGAACTGGAGGATTGTTAGGCCAGTGAAGTTCAGTATCCCTGTGAAGAATCGAGACGTGCAATCTCAAAATCTAGACGATTGGGAACTTGTTGCGAGTTCTTGACGTTTAGAAGTTTGGAAAGGGAAAAGGATGTCTTTTCTCACCTTGGATGTGGAAACATGTTTTGCGTTTCTTTGATACTGCATGAGTGCTTGACAGGAAACATTGATTTTTTTTTTTTTTAATGAAAGAATACAGGAGGGACTGTAGATTAGTAGGCTGTAGAACAGGAACAATTTGCGGTTTTTAGAGCTTTAGGAGGCTGTTGTCATGTGCTGTGCTATCTGGAACAAATATTTCAAGGTCTTGCAGGGCGGATAGCTGTGCTGAACCAATTTGCTCTTTATTCTGCACGGAGATAGATGAATTTTTCAAAGCTCTCGCTCTTTCCCTCCTCCTCTGACAGTTAAGGGGAGTTTGGTTTGGTTGAAGCACGTGAGACACTTCTTTTTTTATGTGTAGGAAAATACTTTTACTTCCTCTTGAGTTTTCTAAATTTGCTTTTTTAGAATGTTTCATTTCCCTCAACTTTCTGCTAAGTTTTGTTACGGAGTTTCAAAAAAAAAAAAAATCCCCATCATGTAGTCTTGGTATGCATTACCCTTTATCCAGAATCCCTGCCCCTTAAATCCAGACATGCCTTCTTTTCTGTTGAGTGTAGAATTAAAGAAAGAGGAAAATCGAGGCAAATAATTCTAATGGCTCAAACAAGAAACATTATGAAAAGTGATAATTTTTTTGTGTGTGAATTTCATACCCCTTTCAGAGTTCTCAGCAGTATGCATGGCGGAATCAAAACTTAGTGAATACCAAGATATATTATTTGTTAGATTCTTATTTATTTATTTATTAGGTTTTGTATTGTGTGGGACAAGGGACAATTGCTGTTTTATGTCAAGTTCTGGGAGCTTTCTATCTTGAAAGCCGTTTAGGGTTCTGTGGACTCCTGCTTCCCCCTAGCCTCCCTTCCTACGTTCACATTCCAGCTGTCCCTACCCACTTTCAGTTTCCACGGGAGGCCTCTGTTTCTTGTGCAGTATCCTCTTCCTGGACATCCCGGAAGCCTCTCTCACCACACCTCGCTGATAGATACTTCTTACTCATTCCTTAGGCCTCTCAGTGATAGTCTCTGTGCCCTAGAAAGATCCCTGATGTCCCCGATGGGCACTGTCATAATACTATGCACTACCTGCTTTCCTTTAATCCAACTGCCTCTTTACCTGCTTGTGTCGGCTCTTTGACTGAGCACCCTGAGAGTCTTCCCTGTGGGTCTTTGATTCCCGAGATCTGTGACTCCTATCCCATGACAGATGGCCTGTTGAAATTGTTAATTCCAGGAGTCTAGCTCTGACTACATTGCCTGGTGCTGTGGGATTAAGTATGGGAAAATGTGAACAGGATAGAGTAGTGGTGATTCATACTGGGACAGTAATTCTGGCCCTGACCTTTGACTGTTTGAAAATCTTTATTGCTAGATGCCAGTGGAAGCTGCAGCTCTTGCAGCGCTGTGAGGGTGTGGCAGCTATGAGACTCAAGTCAGAACATCTGGGGAGAAACCTGTTGCTCTCTTGCTGTTGATTTCCTAGATCTTTCTCTGTGTGTGTGTGTGTGTGTGTGTGTGTGTGTGTGTGTGTGTGTGTGTGTGTGCATGTGTATGCTCATGTGTGTGTGTGTTTGTGTGTTTGTGTGCATGTGTGTGTGTGTTTGTGTGCATGTGTGTGTGTGTTTGTGTGCATGTGTGTGCTTGTGTGTGTGTGTGTGTGTGTGTGTGTGTGTGTGTGTGTGTGTGTGTTCCTATTTAGGTAACCCTAAGGGGCAGAAATAAAAATGGAGGACAGAGGTTGAGAATTATTATTGGATGGGGAGCCAGATGATGGGTAGGCACCAGAAGCAGATATGGGTGTATTTAGGTAAAGATCAATGCTTTTTCTAGCACAGATTTCTCTCAGCTGTGATCTGTATAGAGAAGGAGTTTATATACGTGAATGCCCACCATTAGTTTATCAGTTTGTAGAATTTTAGATGGTACCTTGCAGTGAGGTATTCCTGTAGGATGGAATGCTCGTAACTCCACCATGAAGTTTCATGGGGCAGCAAGGAGATGATTAGTAATGCCTAGAAAGAATGAGCTATCATGATGTAATTTGTGTACAGAGGATGGGTGAGTCTGTTGGTGATGTGAGCAAGGTTTATGAGGTGCTCTCATGATGTGGGTGCTGTAAAGAAGAGTAGTGGGGAGAGTTGTTTTTGTGAGTCAGATCTCTGAGGCTACACTGCACACCACTGTGTGATATTAAAGAATCAGATAAATAAAAGATTTCTGCCCTGGAGCTGCTCAGTAGATATATGGAGGAGATAGGCAAGCCCCAGATAACTGTAAACATAAGATAAGCACTTTCAAAAGGATGGTAAGTACACAGAGGAGAACCTGTCTGCCCCTGGATGGAGGAGGCCACAGAAGCTGCACACTGGAGATGGGGGCAGAGCCTTCTGTTTTCCTTCCACCTTCAAGTACTGCTTTCAGATTGTCTTGCAAGGATTAGGTCTCTTCTGGTGATGAGAAAATACAATTCAAGGTGCCTGAGGGCAAAGGAATTCATCGACTTGTGAGCAGGAGTCCAGACATAGCACAGCTTTTGTTGAGACTGTCTCACTGGATAGCCCAGAATTCCCAGTCCTCCTGCCCCAGCCATACCAGTGCTGGATTTGGGGGCATCCAGGAGGGTTTGCTCTTTAGACAGGCTGGGTTCACAGGCTTCCATTATCCTCAGTGCAAGTCTCAGAGGAAAAGAATACTTTGTGACTGTGGCCAAAATCCCAGGATTGGCTCTGTTTCTGGGTCACATGCCTTTCCTGGGAAATGGAATGGACTCAACCCCACCCAAACAGAGAGTGTAGGAGTGCCAGTTCCCCAAAGTAAACCGGGGTGCTGTTACCAGCAGGAGAACAGGCAGACACTGATTAGGTAAGCAAGAAAAACCCCATAGGGCTTTTTCAGTTCTGCCATGGTAACGGAGAGGCGTTCTCCGTGGGAATCTCTGCTTCAGCTAATCTAGTGGAGGCAGATGGTGCACGAGGGCCTCAGGATGGTGGTGGTGGTGGGGGGGAATGTTGTCTGGAGTAGAGGAGGCTGTACAGGAGGATAAGTATGAAGTTAGGAGATGCATGTGTCAAGAGCGGACCTGGAGGGCTGTAACTAGGAGTACATCCTTGGCAGAGAGTCTGCCCTAATGGGAGTTGGTCTGAGTGCTTTCATTTGGTAAGTCAAGGTTACAAACCTAGGCTTCTCAGGGCCAAGGAAGAATTGCAGAGAACCTGAAGGAAGGCATGTTCCACTAAGGGGCATCTATGGGCATGTGGGTCCCAACCTCTGGCGTTCTCAGGAAGATGCCTAAAGTGTAAATTTTGGTGAACATTAGATGGCATTTAACTCAGGTTAAGCAAGCACTTTTTTGACATTACACAAGATTTTTTGAGGCTAGATGTGATCTGTGGCTCTGTGTTAGGAGATGCCTCAGAGGACCTGGTTCCTTCTTTACCCGATAGCATGGCATCGCTGCATCTCTGACTTTGTTGGAGAGCTCATTTTCATTTGCTGAGATCTTTAGTAGGGCCACAGTAATCATTTCACCTTTCTACAGTGGGACTTACCAAGGGCTGTGCCTCATTGTTTGGCCTGGTTCTCACCCATGGCGCCTGCCATTTATATTTTATGAAGGAGGACAAATGACTCGCCAGGTTGGCACAGCTAAGTGACCCACACAGGCCGTGGTGTGGGCCTTCTGCCCCCGCAGCCCCTGTACTTCTGACCATAGAACTCAGGCTGCCTTTTCACCAGGAAAGGTGTCATGTTTATGAACAAACGTCTTCAACATCTTCCATGATCATTAAGCCAATGCACTTCTCATGAGGAACTCCACTGCATTCTCCCAGCAGCTAGCTCTGGAGTGATGTTGTTTATTCCTGATTTAACAATAAGGAAGCCAGAGATCAAAGAGGTCATGGAGCTGGTACATGACGGAGTTGTGGATCCAAACTAGGTGTCTGATGTTGAAGCAGATATATATGGTACTTCATTCATCTTCAGAGCTGCCTCCATCAAATCTTGGAAGCTGTGATGTTGCTGTAATTTAGTGGCTCTCAACCTGAGGCTGTGTTTCCTCAGGGAACACTGGTCCATATCTGGAGGCTTTTTTAGAGGCTTTGCTGAGGGCAAGTGCTGTACCCTGAGCCGTATTTCAGCCTTCTTGATGGTCATGACTTGGGAAGGTGGGGCCAGTGTTGCTGCTAGCATCTTTTGCAGGCATCTGGTGGGTTGAGATTATGAGTCCTCCTGAACAGTGCCAACTAGGAATTGTGCAGTACCAGCTGCATTAGTGCTGAGGTTTAGAAACCTGACTTAGTTCTCTTGAGTGTTCTGGCTGCATGAATGGTCGCAGCCAAAGATGGCAGAGTGTCAGCTTGCAGGTCATAGATGTATTCTGTTTGCTTTATTCAGTGCTTATTCATTTATTGTTAACGTTAAAAAATCGGTACTTTTCATCTGAGAAATATGGATCTCATGCTTCTTCTAGAAGAATCTTGGAAATTCTGTCAGTATCGAATATCCCTGTC